ATCGCCCTATCTCACTTATAAATGTCGACATAAAAATGATTAGCAAAACACTAGCCCATAGAATTGAACAAATTATACCGTTTATAATCCATCCTGATCAGACCGGCTTTATAAAAGGTAGATATGCATCCAATAACACCCGCAGATTATTCAATCTAATGCATTACTCATCAGTACAAAAGAAAGATACTCTCATTGCCACATTAGACGCCGAAAAAGCTTTTGATAGGGTCAACTGGAAATTTCTATTCACCATGTTACAAAAATTCGGCTTTGGAGAGTCATTTATTAATTGGATCAAGATTTTATACACATCACCATCGGCCACAGTCACAACCAATGGACTAACATCACAAAGCTTCACACTGCACAGGGGGACGAGGCAGGGATGTCCACTCTCTCCATCCCTATTCACGATTTTTATTGAACCTTTAGCAGCAGCTATCCGCCAAAACCCAGCAATCAAAGGTATTGAAACACCACAACAAACACATAAAATCTCACTTTATGCAGATGATATCCTACTATATACAAGAACCCCTAACATCCACTCAAGAAGTAATTAAAACAATCCAGTCCTTCTCAAAAATATCAGATTATGCAATAAACTGGAACAAATCTTTCATCCTCCCTCTACATAAAACCAAATGGGATGTGGCACCCCACCAAACACCTATACCTATATGTCATGATCACATCACTTACTTAGGCATTAAGATCTCCTCCAGACTGTCAGAGTTGGTAACACTCAACTTCACACCACTGCTAAAAAAAATAGAAGACGATTTGCTTCGATGGCTCAACCTTCCAATCTCCATAATCGGCAGGATAGCAGCAATAAAAATGACGATTTTACCGAAAATTAATTATCTATTCTCAATGATTCCAACCCACCCTACACTCACCTGGTTTAAATCACTAGACTCCATTATCACTCACTTCTACTGGAAAAATAAAACGCCAAGGATAAAACTCACTACACTACAAAAAAGTAAGGTTCAAGGAGGACTAGAAGCACCAAATTTCCAATATTACTCAATGGCTAACCAACTGCAATACATATACAAATGGATTCACCCCACCCAATCCGATATTATATGGCTAGATATGGAACAATCACTATGCAAAGAATTAAATATAGCTGACATACCGTTCCTCACCAAATCAATCAAACAACACACATGTTTTAATGCAGTAACTATAGCTTCCACTCTGACAGCCTGGTGGAAATTTCACCATATCACAAATTCTAAATTAGTTCCATCTAACTTCACACCACTGTGGAACAACCGTGACTTTATAAGCAATAAAAAAACATTGAATTTTCACACATGGGCAGAAAGGGGTATTACCCACATTAAGCACATTTTCAAATCTAACACATTTAGACCATTTCCGCAACTAGCCCAGGAGTATGGCATCGGGAGCAACGAATTCTTAAAATACCTACAAATCAAATCTTCTGTTCTGACAAAAATAAACATCAGAGACACAACTTTAGAACTTCCAGCGGCAATATCAGACTTGGTCAACATTTCCTCCCCAAAGAAACTTCTCTCTAAAATATACAAAATGATTTCAAACCAACTTCAGACCATATACTTACCAACAATAAAATGGGAAAACGATCTTTCAATAGCTCCTGATGCCAGCTTCTGGACCCAAATCTGTAAAAACAATCTGTCCAAAAATGCAAATCTTCAGTTAATACAATACAAAATACTTCATAGAACACATTACACGGGCAATAGATTAGCTAAAATGGGTTTCACATCAGAAGTTTGCACACATTGCAATCAAAATTCTACAGATACATACATCCATGCAACCTGGCACTGCACTCCAATCAAACACTTTTGGGAAGAGGTCACACAGTCACTATCCACTATAGTTGGCTGCCACATCCCAATGTCGCCTTCTCTTTGCTTGCTGGGAGACCTCACAATAATCACTGATAAAACTATAAACTCTAAAATACTCCTCATAGCTCTAACCATCGCCAAGAAAACTATCCTCATGAACTGGAAAACTAGAAATAAATTACACATTAACATTTGGAAAAATCTTATAACAGACTTCATTGCAATGGAATATGCATCTCCCCTTCATAATTACGCATCTAAAACTGACTCCTGCCGCCCAACACTTTCTGACCTCTTACAGCTGTGAACCCTTTCTCGGTTTTCAACTCCAACTCCTCCCACCTTCTTAATCAACCCACGAAAATTAATGCATTTAGTTGTTTGAACTTGTTCATGTCATCATTGTTATTACTATCTTTACTGTTATTGTTATCGTTGCTATTTTCACTTTTATTTTTTCATTGTTGTAATTGCTGATGTTGCTGTCTTTTGCTTTCACCATTGCGGTCACCACTGCCATCATCATTGTCATTTATTATTAATATCATTATTACCATTATTATTATAATCATCAATATTGCCGTTGTCAATGCTGTATTGGAATTAAGTGTCATTATCATCACTACTGCAATAATTCCCCCCTTATCTCTTCACGGGTTTTTAATGCACCACAACATAGAATAGGGAGAAAAAAAAAAAAAAAAAAAAAAAAAAAATGTATATATGGAAAACCACACAAACACCAAGGCAGGCAAGACAGGCGAGAAGTGGTTTCAATGGGACAGCATCTCTGTCCCAATTTGAGACACTATCGCACTGTACTCTCTCTTTTAATGCACCTTAGACATTACACATAACACACACAAAAAAAAAAAAAAAAAAAAAAAAAAAAAAAATGAAAAGATAGGGACTGAAGAGATGTGGGGGAAAGGTATCTTACATTATCTTATTTTATCATCTTTTATTTTATGCAGGATTGACAATGGCAATTGGTACATAGGAGGAAGGATGGAAATAAAAATCAACAAACACAATACTGGCAATATGGTGGTAGTGGGGCGGAGATGGTAATGAAAATGGTAATAAATAATAAATGGTAACTTTGTTTACGCATACACACACATACACATACACATACACATATATACTCACACCTGTTCACATGTACACTTAGATCAAACACTTAAATCACTTTTATGTCACTTCTGGAATTATGAATTTACAAGATTGCTCACTACTGCACTATGTTGGTTTGTATATGTCTGACTGTTAAATAAAAAAATTAAAAAAAAAAAAAAAAAAAAAAAAAAAAAAAAGAGACCAGACTGAAGAGGAGATCTTTGATGTTTGGAATAATTAGCAAGGGGGCACGGTTGCCATGGTTACCCTGTCATTTGGCTCGTCCTGGGGAGTGTCGGGGTGACACCATTATGGTCACTGAGGTCCTCACCACCTGGTTCAGGTTGGGGTTAGTCTCTGCGGGGGAAAAAACGGCCAGAAAAATACCATAAAATAACAGTAAATAACCCACTCATAAAAATACAGTAATATTCCATAATGACAAGTCTGTAACTTAAATTCTACATAAAATCTTGTGCAATTTTTGTGGCTTTTATTGTTTAATTAAGAACATATACACCTGTAAAAACAATTAAATTAGCTTTAAATATAGTTGACTGCTGCTATAATACAAATAATAAGGATTAAATGTATAGTAGAGTGCTGCTTTTAATTGAGTTTTATTATATAATTTCACATCAACAAAATCTTGTTAATGTAATCAATATATTGTAAAAAAGAATGATACAACACCTGCAAATATTAGTTTTTTGAAGCTGTCAATCATCCCAGTGCTGATGCCCAAAATAAAACTGCTGGCAATGGTGGTGAATGAGTCCCCAGTGCTCAGATATCTAAAATTATACAAATATTATTATAACACAAAATAATGGTGTTGTATGCTGTCACTTTGGGTGTGTGTGTCTAACCTAAGACATACTGCCAGCCTCTGTTCAGGTTTAGTTGGTCATCTTTTTAATATGCAAGTCCAGTATCACTAGGAAAGTATCAAACAGACCCACTGACATCCTGAAGAACACTTTCTGTGATCGGGATAATCTCGCAGCTCCTTGATAAGGAGGTAGAACTCCCCTTGCTTTCTACGCAATCTCCGAAATGGATGGACCCAAAATGTCCTATATATTTATCATCCTCACTGCTTGAAAACTCCATATTGTATTGTTTAGCGTAATTTTTCACAACGGATTAATTAAAACATATCGGACTCAGTGTGCAAAGTTTCTGTGCATGACGAATTTTTAGGATGATGGATAAGAAAAAAACGTATACAAAAATTTCGGACTCAGTGTCCAAGGACCTTAAGACTGCCAACTTTAGAATGTTGGTGTTAGTTGGGCACTGTCTGAGCAGTGTGCAAGCAGCTTACAATGTCTGATTCAAGGCCTTTCAAGCTGCGCTCATGAACCAACCAGAAATCCGTGGCTACAATAAATCCAAACAAATCACACAGATACTGACTCATAACAGATACTCCCACTGCTTCACTGCAGTGTTGAAGCCCAGCTTTGCGTTATTTTGTGAAAAGTGACATTCCCTATCACATTCTCAAATTAGTGGATGCCATAGGTAAATTCAAATCAATCAATTTTTACATTGTACAATGAAGGCAAATAAACAAAAAACTACAAGAATGTCAAAAAACTAAACAACCAAAGTTTCAATACATATTTCTTTCAGCTGAAAATACTAAAACTGATTAAATGATTAGTTTTGTAAGCTTTTTGTGATGTTATCCTACTTTCCAATTTTTGCCTCCTCCTGCCAGTTTTTAACAGCAGAGCATTACCGCCATCTTCTGGATTAGGTGAATCTATACATCCATTATCTGAAATTATCATTTTGCTGTTATTGTATTTTGACTGAAAAGAAAAAAACAAAATATGCCATCCTAAACTGTTCTTTGCAAAAGCTGGGAAGTGAAAATTATGGTGACCACAGATGTGGAAGTCAAAAACAACAACAACAACACAACTATTTGAAACCCTCAATAGACAAGTTTTGCTGTACATTTTAGGTAACTGTCTTATTTTGAAAAAAACCGGAAGTCCCTCTTATTGGTGGTCACAGGCAGTTTGATAGTGGCTGCCAGCCTCCATTCTCTCTGACAGTTAGTGAGCTGTGTCGCATTCTCAGCATGGCATCTGAAGAGCTGGCTAGGAAGCTGCAGTCGCGCCTGTCCGCTACCCAGGAGGTTGAGACGAGGCCGGAACCCGAACAGAGCCCGGTCCCACCCAGACCGCAGGAGCCGGAGGCAGCCGGAGGAGACTCGTCCTCCGAGCTGTCCGCCAAACTGACCCGCAGGCTGGACATCAACGAGGGCAACGCTGCTCCTCGACCGACCCGTGTCTTCAACCCTTACACGGAGTTCAAGGAGTTCTCCCGCAAGCAGATTAAGGACATGGAGACGATGTTCAAAAGGTAAGGCTGAAGCTTAGGCTCCTTTTGTTTGTCCATTTACACATGTAACAGTGGTCCAACATGTTTACTTGTAGTCGAGGGATTGGGACTGAGTGAGCATGTAGGACGGGAAGCTCATGATGAGATTAAGCTACTGCTGCTGAGGTGAAGCCTCAGGTGAAAGCACTGGCTGTTTGCTGACAGATTCAAATTGACTCGCTCACTGCAGGCCCTCACTGATAGCTGGCGTAGCCCATCTAGTGTTGTGTCGTAATTGTGTCGTAATGGAGGGGAGACCTGTGAGCTGTTGTGGTTTTGCTGAAGAAGCCATGGTTAACCCGTCAGATTTTGGCATGCCGCTTGGCCCACGCATAGCCGTTAAATAAAAAAAATAAAATAAAAAGAGCCGTTATAAAAGATAAGTGTCAACGTAATAGTGTACATTATGCGTTAATATTTACTATGCTATAATTATATATTATTATAGTATATTAATACTATAATTCCTGCAAATATTTATTTATAATAGCCTAATGATAATAATAAAGTAAAGTTTCAATTCATATCACTGTTGTTGTTGTATATTTTATTTGTTCCAAAGTGATTTTAAGTTACACGAACCAAGAATATTCTGTAACCTTACATCATGAGCCAGATGTCTCTTGATTTAAGTTCTAATTTTACATAATAGGGGACTAATTTCAAATTATCATGCAAACATGAAAATGTAATCCCACAATAACATTATAATTTTCCACATTTGTATGTGTTAATTAGGTAAAAATTTAAATGAAAATGCAATCATCCAATTTTCATTTTCATTATCACATAGTTGTGTGGGCATTCTAGGACCATATTAAAATGAAAATGGAAACAGCATTTGACATTTCATTTTCAAAGGCTTAACCTGCTCCCCCATGGCCCCCCAAAGTATATTACCCTTAGCCTAACCATCATAGGGTGTGTGCCTAAAGTTATTGATTGTATGCATGTCCACAGGTTAACCCTACAGCGACGCAGATAGGCACCATGGTCGGCACTTGCGGAGCTTCTCAAAACTCCGAAAACGTTTGAACACATTTTCGATTTGCTGTCAATTTTTGTTAAACTGCCGATATTCGAAATCTACACTGTTGATTTCTCGCCTAAAAACTTCTCCGAAGTGTACTTAAAGTTCTGTTTGTGGCCTCTCAGGGGGGTTAAAATAATCTAACTTTTTTTTCTGTTAGTCGATTAATCTAACCACTAATTTTGTGTATTCTAAAGAAAATAAAGTTGCCTACTCGATTAACAAACCAATTTATCCAAAAATATATATAAAAAACATGTCTGATCAATAAATCAATATTTTATTAAATCATCCTGATGAAGCACATTAGAATAATGACAGTAATGCAGTATGATAATCAAATGTACTTCTGCATCGGTGTGGGCCAAAGAAAACACTTGAAAGGATTCACAGACTACAGACAGTCACAGATCGTCTGTACTGTTAGTTTCAGCAGGTTTCTCACTCCTATGTGGCTGTTAAATAAACAGAAAATATGAAATGGCCGAACGTTAGATGACACATGGTGTAACGTTATGTTACCATGACAGCAGCGGGGCAGAAATTACTTTTAACATGAGGATAATGAAGAAATACTTTTTTGTCCTTGTCCTTTTGCCGTGCTTGTGTGGAGACAGAAAGTAAACAGGATTTGCGGTGCTGCCGTCAGTGCTCCGGGATACTTTCGCTTCACGTGTTCATGCTGCTTCTTGATTCGTGGACAGCAGCTGTAGTGAAGCTATTTCCAATTCACAGCGCTCACGGAGCAGCACGTTGAGTGTCTGTCTAAAATACTGAGAGGGGTTCAACTGCAGACCTCCACTGTCAGGCCACCTCCACAGTCAGGCCGGTCAGTTTTTTACATCCCCACAGGACGTAATGTGATGCATTCTCAGTTGTTTCACATCACGACAGCGGTAGGTGACTGGTTAGCATTATCCAAAACATTGAGTAAAGTCTGAATGCATTGCTTTTGGTATAGGTTCGCTGTAAATAGCTACCACTGTCAATATTGTACATCTAAATCACAAATTACAGAATGTTACACATGTGTAAGTTAGGTTAGCCTATTTGTCGTTCTACACAGGTAACGTTAGGCTACGCCAACGGTGGCTAGCATTAACTCCTGAAGTAGCAGGATTAGCTTTTTTTTCTTTGGATAACTTAATACTGTATGAAGCTACTGTGTGTTTGTTTTTTGTAAAGCATTTTGCAAGGGTATAGGTTTGCATTTGTCTCAACATGCTAAATCCTCCTCCACCTCCAACACCCACAAACTTGTCTGCTGATACCTTTGCTGCCTTCTTCACAGTTAAAGTGGCGGCTATAATTAGCCAGTTCTCTAAAACACTCAAACTCAACCATTGTAGCAGTCCTATTACGTCTTTTCCTCTGCCCTCCCAGGTCAATGGTTCTTTACTCTCCTTGTTCTGTATCAGAACTCCTGACCCATAGCCATCCCACTACATGCCCACTGGACCCGATTCCTACGAATCTCCTCCAAGCCATATCTCTTACCGTGGTCCCGGCAATCACTCATGTGATAAATACTTCTCTGGCTTCAGGAACCTTCCCGACCACTTTCAAAAGGGCTCGGGTTACACCCTTGCTCAAAAAGCCCTCACTTGACCCAACTCAAGTTGAGAACTATCGACCAGTGTCTCTTCTACCATTTTTATCCAAAACTACTGAACGGGCAGTATTCAAACAGGTCTCAGAATTCCTCTCAGGGAATGACCTCCTAGATCCATATCAGTCTGGTTTTAAAGGGGAAATGAAGCATTCAATCAAGTTTACTTGATTTACAAGATGGATTTCCACTATAATCAATAATTATACATGAAACATGACAAATGTAAACATATAAAAGAAAAAAGAAACACTGTTATATCTTTCGCGGCAAGGGCGCCACCATTGTGCAGTACTATAACCTGTGACGTCACGGGGTTGGTTGGCTTTAACACTAGAACAGAAGGGTTCGTTGTATACCTATATCCGCCATAGCGGGTAAGATTTACCCGCTATAAAACTGCCTGATGTTGTGATTATTTCTGCTACATGTTGCTCCAACACACTTTGGGAAACATTTAGCACATTGGCTGTGCATTTCCTATAAACACCATCCCCATATTTCAGGCATTTACAGAATGTTTATTCTATTTTATTCATTGTCTTCACCGTGCAGGTCCATCGCCTGCGCTGCGCACACGCGGCGGCTCTTTTGATGTCATCCATTCGCCACTGTTATAGATGTTATGTATATTCTAAACACAGCTTGAATTTCAATGCACCATACAATTTACAAAAAAGACTGACTGCTGTAGTGTTTTATAGGCGGTAATAATCTCATAATGTCGGCTAGTTCTTACAGTTCTGCTTGTTTTTTCGGACTCCATCGGGCATCCAGAGAGTAACACATAGCTATAAAGTCCAAATAAAAGTAGGTTATGTATTTGAAAAAAAAAATGATTATCAATTCCAAAATTCATAGTAGATTTTTACCCAACGGAAAAATGTATAGGCCTAATGATCACTGTTACTAAAAAATACACAGCACTGGAAAAGTTATAGCCGGTCAAAAAGCACACGAGGGAGCCTCACGCTCTCTTGAAGGGACCGCAGAACACACCTTCATCAAAGGGAAAAACTAGACTACTGCTGCATTAGTTTTGATGATCATGTAGCAACACAAAACCTATGAGCAGCGGCTTTTATGCATATTTACTTCATTCAAGTGGATCGTTGTAAGATAATGACCCATCAGATGCAGAATCAACACATCGCTCAGCCCCCACCGTCAGACTCTCCTCCACTCACTGCGCTGAGCAAGTATAATACCTGTAGTGGGAAAGGCGTTGCCAATAGCAAACATAGAATGTTTATCTAAACGCGTGACATGAACAGCGCTAAAATTAATGTATTCTGTATAGGGGTAAATTTTACCCGCTGGCGCTTATAGGTATAAATGTCCATTTTTTTAAATCTGGCTTTATATTGACATTTTTTAACAATAGGGGGTGCTATATAACACACTTAGGAGAAGTCAGAGACTGGGGGACTTGAATATTATATTGAAAAAAAGATCATCAAAAAACAGCCGCGTGTAAATTTGACCCGTTGGCGGTTCTAGTGGTAAAGGCTCTGTTCAGTAAAAACGCAGAGAAAGATAGAGATAGTGAACGACAGAGATGGCGAAAGACAAAGATAGCGATAGAAAGAGGTAAGTTAGTGGAAGAGACAGTGAAAAAAAGTGGAAGATGGAGACTAAGGAGCCACAGGACGAACGGGAGGCCACTATTGTATTGCTCCTGGATTTAAAAATGAGTTTTACAGGGTCAAAGCCAAGGACAAAACAGTCCATTTTCACAAACTGCTGCTGAAACGGAAAACTGTACTGCTGGCTAACGGCTCTGAAGAGAGAGAGCCCTCCGATGGCACTGACTCCAGGGTTTGCAGTGAACATTTCTGGAGGAGGATTACATTGAGGAGGAGACCTTTGAGTTTGATAAACTAGTTGTTCGCCCGACCAACAGACTACAGCCTGAAGTTGCTCCGTCTGTTTTCAATTTCACTGCCTATAATGTGTGCTCTACTGACCACCCAATATACTCTGACAACAGCGGGACAGAGGCATCAGTCCGCCGTAGGTAAAGGGCGCTAAAACGCACCAGCCAGGCAGGGAAGAGACAGGTAGGGCATTCAGCGACCCACAGAAGTCAGCATCAAAGATGCCCACACCAAAATAAAAAAAAAATTATAGAAACGTAGCTGATCATCATGAGCGTCTCGCTCAGTCCAAACAGCAGCACCTGTTACCCCTTCCAACCCAAAACACGTTCCCTAGCCTAAATCTTTCCATAGCAGCATAGGATTTATCTTATTTATCAATATAACATCTAAAATGACTCAAAACAAACAACCATTACCTGGGCCTGAAAGCATTCCCCTAAAACTCTCATCCTGATTTGATTCA